TGCACATGCACGCGTATGTGTTGTCTTGCAAGTTTTCTTTTCCTTATTCTGTATTGGGATCTTACCTTTAGTCTAATCTAGTAATGTGTGAATCCACTAACAGTAGATACCTTGTTATATTCCTTGAAGGAAGTATGAGTATCACCACATCTGTAGTTTATCCTTCTTCATTGTAATTTCTTACCCTGCTTAAACCTGTAAATATAGTATTTTCCTATTTTGCTATTGGGTTTTTTGGTAAAAAATGCTTTGGTAATCTTGCTGCTTGCTTGATGAGACAATATGGATGTGAATTTTTTTCATCCTGAGTGATTGCAGTCATGTGGATTAAATGGCAAAAATGTAGATTTAATATGTCTGAATGGTGAATGTTTCCTTATTTCTCTGTCATTAATATATATTTTTGGATTCTCGTCCCAATTTTTTTCCATAAAGGTAAAGGAGTACAAAGGCAGTCCATCACGAAGCCGAAGTAGGAGTCGCAGTAGAAGCAGGTCTCCTAGAAGGAATAGGAGGTATTAACTTTAGTGGTTATCTTGGATTTATTTAGCCAGTGCTTCCGTACCTTCAATAAAGATGTTTCTATCTGCAGCAAATCGCTGGAGCGATCTGCTTCTAGATCGCCATCAAAGTCTAGATCTGCTTCTCCTGTCAAGTCTTCAAGGTGTGTGTTGCTTGTTCTACTAATCTGCTGTTTCCGTCTTCCACACTACTTTTCATCTTTACTGACACTCAGGCAAACATTTTTGTTCAAATTTGCAGAGCTAAATCAAGGTCAAGGTCTGCATCCCCTCACCCGGTGAGCAAATCTGTTGCTCTGGTGGTTTGTGTGGTTAAAATTCTCGAGTTTGGTGTAGAATATTAAAGCAGAAGTGTCCCTTCTTTATCTAATTAACTTTAATTCATCCAATTACAGGCACGCTCTGGCAGTGGCTGATTACATTGTCACCTATGCTAGTCTGCTTGCTGGGAGAGTGTGGAGGTTTGTCTTAGATGGATTCAAGTGGACAGGAAAGTGGATGACATCCTTCAAAGGAAACCTTCTAATGACTAAACTATATGTCTCATGTCTCATTGGCTTCGTTGGTCTTATTAAGTATGCTTTATATTCATCTGAAGAAGAATTTAATATTTGTGCATTTGGTGCTTAGATGTGACATATGAGGATGACTGCATAGGTTCTGTTGGTGTCCTCGTAGTGTTGATTTGATAGTTTTTGAATGTTGGATGTCTCCTTGGATATTCCTTTATGAGTTTTATTCTACTTGCCCTCGTTGAATCAGTAGTCATGATGCCTCTGTTTTTAGTAATTTTAGTGTCTTTGCTTTCATCATGGGTTACTTATGTCGGTTTAGCGGTTACTTCGTGATTGAGGGAGCAGTAATTCTTCAGTGTGCCCGGGCAATAGTAGTTTTATCACCTTGGAGGAGGTATAGCTAATAAATGTATTTGTTGGTTTTGCCATATTAATTTTTACTGCTTTTAGAGAGTTCAGAGGGGCAAGAGTCCAAATTCTTGAACTTCCCTTGTTTCTGCTTTCTGGGCACTCTGCAGAACGCCTTGGTGCTCGTCAGAGTTGCATGTTGAGAGGTTGAATGGCGGTTATGTGTATGCCCTGATGTTGGATGTGATTATGTAATTAGTCTTCCAGCTCCAAAAATAAAAAAAATCAAAAAGTTATTCCAGATTTTGCTTACCTGATGATGATAATAATTTTAAAAAATATGTAATGCACTTTGCACCCTAGTGAGCAAAGACTCGTATTATATTCATATAATACTACATGTTTGTATGTATAATTCAAAAAGAAATTGTATTTTGTACATTTTAAAATATTTTAAAAAATAGTCATATGTTGCAATTGACTTTGTAAAATTTACAAGTGAAAAAATTTTAATAAATTTAGTGTCTTATATGCGAGGATAATTATATTTCAATTTTTGAAAAAAATTTTAAAATTTGAGTAGGAGAACGAGAGAATGACTTATCTGCCTAGTGATATATAACATAATTTTGTAAATTTATACATAAAAGTGGAAATTTTACTAACAAATGTAATGTCTTGTACACAAGGATAAGACTTAAAATTGGTAGAAGTATGCATAATTTTTGAAAAATATACTATTAATGTCTCGTACATAAGGATAAGAGTTAAAATTGGTAAAAGTATTACTTAATTTTGGAAAAATGTACTAATTTTAATTGTACTTTTAGTTTTATAATTTTCAAATATTATTCTTACTCTATAAGTACAAATTAATATGCGTAATTTTGTAGAACATGTATTATTTTGCTAAATTTTTAATCATATTTTTGAACAAAAATTATACAATATATGTACATATAATATCTTGTATTATATCCGTTTCGTATTTTATCAACTATGCTTTGCACCTTTCGACTGTTAAATTTATCCTCCATAGAACTTATGGCCTGGAGTCCGAACAACATTTATCGCGGTCGCTCATTTCGTATGCTTGCCCGGTCAGGTTATTGATGCGCTGTGCCTGTAAGTCATAGCAAGTAACTCAAACTCTACTCAAAAAATGAGTGACTCAACTCGATTTTATCGAATTCAATCAACTCGATTTTAGCAAGTAATCTACTCGAGTAGTAACTTGAGTCAAGCCTAAGCTCCAAAATAATAAGCTCAATTATGCAAGCTTAATCGCACATATGTATTAAATATATTAAATATGTTTTTTGTATTTATAATACTACTTTTTTTCCATCTGCTGCTGTCACTATTTCTTCTTCACGAGTACGACAAAAAGAAAAAAAAATTATCCTTTTTCTTCTTTGACTATTTCTCCCCCTTATGCAGACCGTATGACCCCTCTTTCTTTCCATATTCTTTATCTTCATGTTTGATGGCTTCTTTAATCAATTTTTTTTTTTTTTTGGCTAGTTCCTAAAACTTCGGTTTCTTGGATCTTGTATCCCAAAGTGACAAGTCTGATTGTTGAAGGCTACAAGATTGAAGCTTTATTTGCTTTTTCAGCTTCGTTGTTTTGGGGATCTTCGAATGAAGACCGTATTTGATTTGATTTCTGTTTTGTCTTTGGATATTTGCGTTGTATTATTTGCTTTATAGTTCACAGATTTGCGTTGGATATTTGCGTTGTATTTCTGTTCATGGTATTTGTTTTATGAATTTTTTGAATTATGATTCTTGAAATCATAGATTTTGGTTTTGGATTTGAAATCATTCGATCGGAGTTCCATTTAGCTTGGAAACTGGTTTGAAATTAGTTTTGAGGGGGAAAAAAAAAGAAATTGGATGCTCAATTGAGCTCAAGTACGAGCTCGAGTCATACACGAGTCAAGCTCAGGTCTATGGTGAGAGTTTTAGAGTCAAACTCGAGCTTGAGCATATGGTTATTTGAGTTTGGTTTAACTCGGTTGTATCTCTACCTATCTTTATGACCCTAAAACAAAAAGAACAAAAAAGGGTTAATTGCACTTTGCACCCCAACTATTCTTGTATTATATTTTTGCGACCTTAGCTATTCGTTTTAGCACTTTTTTTCACAAAGAAAAATTCAGCACTTTTTTTTTTTTTTTTGTCAACACAGGGGTGTCCGGGTCAAGACCCGAAGGCGGCCCGACTAATCCCCTGCGCCTGAAGTACCCCGCCCCCCAAGAGCACCCAGGCGGTATGTGAGGCCAGACTCGAACCTGTGCCACCCCGAAGATTACCCCCGAGGCTCACCAGCCGAGCTGACCCCGAGGGGCAAGAAAAATTCAGCACTTGATTACGTTCAACTTGTAATTTATTGCACAATTTAAAAACCAAATCATCCCTAATGGGAAAAAAAATTTATGACCAAGACATCCTCAATTTCATAGCTAACTTCCTAAAATACCTTGACCCTAAAGAATTTAAGAAAAAGCTATTCACTCATACGATCTCTTGATTTTTCATAGGAAATCTTGATCTCTCTCAAAAGTTTGCTTCTTTATCTATCTGAAAATTTAGACTCTTGCAAAAGGCAATTTTTAAAATAAAAAGAAAAACAAAAAATACCGAATTGATGAACAAATAAACCAACTATTGCCAATGTATGTTTTTCTGTACCTTTTATTTTAGTAGAGTAAAACAGTATCCTTAATTTTAGATCTCCACGTAATTTCCTTCCCGGAATATCTCATATCCTTGTTTGATTGCTCGTTTGAAGGAAAAAAAAAAAAAAACTTTTGGAATCAGTTTAGCGTTATTTAGCAAAACTTATAAGTACGTATGCATGTGGGAGTGGACTCAAATGGAAAGGCCTGGGTTGACTATTTCTTTTTTCTTTTTCTTTTTCTTTTTTGGATTTTTGTAAGAGGTACACTATGAACACTTGTTAACATACTTACATTCTATTTAACTTACCATGTATATACGCATACCAACAATTACTACTTTTTCTTCCAGCTATACACTTTTCCTAATTAATCCTCTCACATTTATACGCTTTACCTAATTAATCCTAATATTTCTAAAAATCTAACACCTGAAATATACTTTAGCGGTGCCCATAGGGTACCTGCTTTAATATCCATGCAAGAAATATAGACGGTAATATGTGGTCCTTTGACTTTATTTTTGTGTTTGCGTTAGCCTTCTACTACTATTTCAATAATTACTAGTTGTGTGCCATCCCTTTTATGATTAATAATTACCACTTGGTCGTACTCGGTAGGTTTTCCATCCAAAAAAATGAGAAAACGATTTTGTTGCTGCGTGTATGATAGGCCTTATAAGCCATATATATACCCATTCCGCCGTCATGTTCTGCAGGTATATTTTACTTCAGTTGTCATAATTAATCGCTTGCATTTGCCCCTTGGAATTTTAGCATTCTTTTGCATTTTTTTAATGTGCTTTAGTGTGTGTGTGTGTGTCACAGCTATTTCTTTTGCAATGGGCCCATGGTTAAAGGAGTACAAAGGTTTGCCCGCTTTGAAGTAGGCCCAATGGTTAAAAGGAGCCCGTATCTCTCAAGACTGCCCATCTCTTGAATTGTGGTGTGCCCTAATTGCGATACTATAAACGTCCCGAACTCGGCGAATCACCGCACCACCTAAACCCAACGGCCTAACCCCCGGTCCCCGTCCGCAGTCGTCAGGTGGTGAGCAGAGAAAATTAATAAACCCTTTGCTTCCGCCATTTTGGGTCGTTTGTTTTGTTTCGATTAATTCTTGAATTTTCATTCTCGTACGTTCTCTGCAGATCAATTTTATCATCAGGGAAAAAGATGTCGGTCGGAGAGCTCGGCTGCACCTACGCTTCTTTGATTCTCCACGACGATGGCATTCCTGTCACTGTAACCTTTCTTTTCTTTTATTCTCTTCTCTTCATTCGACATTGGTTTTTTCGGGTTTTTTTTTCGGATGTGTTATTCTGTGAGCTTTATTTTAATTGTTAGTGCGTTTTTTCACAGGCAGAGAAGATTGCTACATTGGTGAAGGCTGCGAATTTAACCGTGGAATCCTACTGGCCTAGTCTCTTTGCCAAGCTCTGCGAGAAGAGGAACATCGATGATCTTATCGTCAACGTTGGCTGTGGCGGCGGTGGTGCTGCCCCTGCCGCCGTTGCCGCTTCTGCCGGCGCTGGTGGTGCTGCCCCTGCCGCCGCTGCTCCCGCCGCAGAGGAGAAGAAGGTACCTTTATTTTGTACTATTTGTTGCCTATGTGTAGTTTTAACTTTATCAAAACCGATAGCAGTAGTACACTGTAGTCGTACTCATAGGGAGCAAAATTGACGATATTAAATGGGCAAATGTCATTTTTTCAGGAGGAGCCCAAGGAAGAGAGTGATGATGATATGGGATTCAGCTTGTTTGATTAGGTGTTTCTCAAGCTTATTCTCTTAGAAGAAAAGAATTAGGATCAACCAGTTGGAAGTTTTTTGGTATACTTTTATGTTATTTAAAGATGATTCTGATTTACTTTTATGATGTCAGTTACTGATCGGATAACTATGATGCAAAAAGTGTTCTATATTTTCATCCATTGAAGCATTTTCTTTTGTGATTATATTTGGGATGGTTTTCGTTGTTCCAGTTGGGTGTTGACCTCGTGGAATGTTCCCTTCTTTCTTGCTAATTGCTTCTTGTCTTATAGCATAAAATGCAACTTATTTCCACTTATTATCATGCCCTGAAACAACTGTTCAAAGTAGTTTCCTAATCTTCCATGTTGTTGAGATTAATTGTCGAACTATGCAACATCTTAGTGATGCTACCGTTGGACTTGTATTGTGGACTAGATTTTCACACCCATGATTTTCTCGCATTCTGTCATTTTATTTGTTTTACCGGAATTCACTTATTATTTCTCGCATTCTGTCATTATATTGGCCTTTGTTTTACCCGAATTCACTTGTATTGTGGACTAGATTTTCACGCCCATGCTACCGTTGGATTTGTTTTACCGTTGGACTTAGTTTATCTGCAATTGTGACTTTATTATTTGCTGGCTTCTTTTGCAAACTTTCCACCCTATTACTTTTTACCAAGCTGCTTAGAACTGTATGCAGCTCATTTTTCCTGGGAAGTGGGTTATAAAATTGCTTTTTTAGTATGTTTTATGCTCTTCATTGAACCATTATTTAATGGACCAGAAATGAACTTTCCCAAGAAATAAAACACGGTTTACTTGAACTTGGGCATGGACCAAGTAGACAAGTCCCTGCAGTAATTCTGTTGGTTTAGTTGATTTTTTTTATTGTTTAGCAAACAAACATAGTGGATGTGATCACCTTTTCATTACGATTTTTTATTTCAATTCTATATTCTTCCTGGCCCTCCTTAGTGATTGATGATGGCTTTTGTGACCCCTTTGCGGTTTTCTTGAGGAGATGCAGTTTCATTCCTTTCGTCATTTAAGGGGATTTCTTCGGCTATGTGAAAGTTGTGGGGGCTAGTATGATAGCGTTTAACCAAGATCTTTCTCTTGATAAGATGCCTGCACTAGCGTCATTACATGATTGTCAAACTGAAAACCTTAGCATAAGGGCATCATCATGGTTTTGTGGCCATGTTTAGGGCAAATGAAAACTCATTGATCGCAGTTCACCATATTGAAACTTCACCTAGTGAGAAGAGACTGAATATATTGGTTTTCTTTAAGAAGCGAGATTTTTAGCACATATTGTGAATCTGTGGTATTAATAGCCAAAGCCTGTGTGTGGTGGTGATTGTGGGATTGAAGTGGATGTACCTGAAGAAGAGATGGGCTCAGACTAAACTTCTTACAGTGAATATCGGATTCACCAGGTAATGGTGGTCTCGTCTTGCAACGTTACTTGATGAGAGGAGGGATTCGCTGTGTATGTTTGTACCAAACAAGCATCAAGTACCCTACCCTTCTCTCAGGTGTCTCTGGTTTATTCGTGTTTTAAAAAAAAATAAAAACTCCTGTATTGCAACCATGGTTTAACTGTAGCACAACTGGACCGATGTTTTTCTGGAAAATAATTGAATATCTTCCGGTATTTCTACCGTGATTTGACTGAAGCACAATGCGACTGAGGTATGAGAGTTTGAAGTTGGTTAAGTAAGCGCCTTGCGTTAGAAAAAAGAGTCGGTTGTTTCAGACGCTGCGTAGTTGGGAAGGATGTATCAGAATGAAATTATCGCCAAATGAACCGAGTTTTATAGGGTTTGAGCGATCAGTTGCAGCAGTGATGAAATTATTATTCTTGCTACCTTTACACAGTCTTTTAACTTTGGACGAGAGATGTGTCCCATGGAGAGTCCTCGAATGTTCTTGTTGAGAGAGAGAGAGGATTTGAGATTCCAAATGTTGTCATAGTAGTAGTAGATATTAGAGGATTGTCAAGCTTTTGTTGTGGATCGACGGACCAGTGTTGAATCGCTATCACCTCAACTTCCGGACCATCTGTAGGAAAATGCGAAAAGAAACCTGTGGTTTGCGTGAAATCACTCTACTAATCCATTCGGATGGGTCCTTCGCAGGAATTTTCCATGCGAAAAATTAGAGAGGTAATTCAGCTGTAAGTCACCACTAAAAATGACCTCCCGTGAATCACCACCACTAATTCGGATGGGCTCTTCTTGTGTTAGCTTTTGTTTGTATATATTACATAAACACAGGAGCAGTTGTCAATTCGTAGGCCAAATGGAAAATGTATATAAGTAAGTAGTAGTAGTAGTATTTCATTTTTTTTTAAGTGAAATAAATATTTGCAAGTGTGACTTGATTTTAAGCAAACATGGTTGAAAGAAAATGTAAAATCGCTCCGAACAGAAATTAGCAAGTGGCGTCAAATAGTGGGCTGCGTGCAGAGCAAGCAAGTGGGGGGCGGGAACGGAGGGCCAGGTCAGTGGTGAGTGGTCACGAACGCCGGCCGGACAACGCGACTTTGACCTCCGTGTTTGACTCGGACTCGGTGCTTCTACTGCAAGTGGTGCCTTTCTTGCTACTGCCAGGCAATGGTCGGTTGGATTGTTTATTTTAAATAAATAATTCTTCTTTCTATTAGTAGAGCAGGTATTAATTTTGAGATAAACTAGTAAAAATCAAATCCAATTATTCAATTAATATAATAGTTGTAGTCCGGACTCATCGAAGATGCGATGGAAAGCACGGTGAGGTCCCGCATCCGTTTTGACTCAGGATCATAGAATTCTACTATCCGAATCATGATCCTATTGATCTTATTAATTTAAGGTTAATTTTTGATGAATCATTAGCCATGATCCGGATTGTAGATGGTAAATCGGGATCTAACAATTATGGAAAGAATCAAATTGCTCATCCACTGTCTGAATATTGAATATATATGTATATATATATATATATATATATATTTTTAAATAAAAACATCAGCCAAAGAAAACTAGCCACGTCCCGCCTGTCAAAACAGAAAATAAAGAAAGTATACAACCATGACAAAGACGCGGCGGTTCTCCAGTTGGTTGCAGCGCTTTCCAGACTCGCTGTTGATTGAATTTTGACTTGGCACGCGCAAAGTTCTTTGCCATTAGACAAACTTGGGAACAAAGAAACTTCCCATTCTTCGTCGCCTCGGGGGTCTAAGTTCAGGGTTCCGGATATTTCTCTCTCATCACTAACAGTTGAAGTACCTTTTCCGTGTCTGCATATATGCATATATAAACCACCTCTCTCCCCTGTTTTCTTCACAACCGCATCCACACACAAAGCAATTCCTCCAAAGTCAGCAGAATTAAAACTCTCTCTCTCCGCTCTTTCCCTTTGTTGCAGTCCTCTTTTTATTAGTCTTGCTCCCAAACCCAAAAAAAAAAAAATTGCCAAGAAGAAGATAGCATAAGCATAATCAAAGTCATGTTGATGTCTTTATTCAGTTCTTTTGATGCCCTTTGTGCCGAATCCTTCGGCCAAAAGTCATGGGCACCCGGTGCTTCTAAAAGCCACCATCAACAACAAGAAGAAGGGTCAGGGTCAGGGTCTCCTCTTGTTCTTTCCTCCGAGCGCAAGGCGGCAGGCCTAGTGTCACTTGATGATGCTGGCGGCAAGAACAAAGGCAAACAAGGAAATATGCCGTCATCCCCTGAGGCCAACAAGTCTGGAGATCGTCATCGTCCGTTGCAGCAGAAAAGGAGACCAAGGTTCGCCGTGGAATTGGATGGGGTGCACTGTTTCGAAACCATCATCCCCTATTAATCGATTATTGATTTTACTTTGTGGTAGTGGCAGAAACAGATTTTGATTCTTTATCCGATCCCCTTCATTTTAAGTGCGTATAGATGTTGTCAATTTGATATACCACTAGTCTGAGCATTCTTTGTTTTTCCTTTTCTTTTCAAGAATCAATGGAGTTGCTGCTGTTTTTTCGTTCTTCGATTTCCTGTTGCGGATTGTCTTTACTGTTGCATATACTATTACTGATCTTCTTTTGCTGCTCCTGAACCAATATGATGAGAGACTGCCGAAAGAAGCAACTTATATTAACCCACGACGTTCCGTTCAAAATACAACAGCAGGGGAGACACCCTTAAGCTTACCCACAAAAACTATTTTTGTAATTTTTAAGAGTTTTTGATATGCGTTTGGTCGCTAATTCTTTAGAGGGGGTTGCGTTGCCAGAGTGAATCTCAAACTCAGTACTCTACCCTTTTAAGCTCGTTGGCTTTCTTTAGTCTCACATATGATGATATCAGGCTCTCTCTCTTCTGTAAGGAAAAAGTCATCTGTGGTTGCTGCTACAAAGCCAACTAATCGAACCTTACCCTTTTAACATTTGCTGAAGAGAGGTGGTAAATCGCTTTTAGCTATATATAAGACACATCCCAACTAAACGTTTAAACTGCTTGTACCTGAGGAGTGAAGGAAGGATAATCCCCTGGACGAAAGCCCAAAACAAACCCCCCTTTCTTTTCTTTCTTTCTTCCTCTCCCTTGGCTTGGGTAGAGCCCTCTTTAGTTAGTGATTATAACTCCATTTTTGTTTTTATCATTTTTTTGTTGTGGCATCTGAAATTTGATACGTCACATTAAAGGTCGAAATAATTCAGGAACTTCTTTCACGTGGAAATCAGGGGATCTCTTCTTTATTCCTGGAAAAAGAATTGGAGTGCCGGAGAGAAAACGTGATATACTAGTACAACAAGATGATGTATAGACTGAAAATAAAGTGAAGAAAGAAACGGGAATTGACAGTACTCTATCTGGGTACGGCAAGCAAAAACTTGGATAGATCTGCCTGCCTGCTGTAATAGATTTAACTGTCCAAATTTCGTCACATTTTTAGTGAAGTTGTTATGACAAATTTTGAATTACTTGATGGATCTCGTAAATAAATTAGATCTACCCAAGTTTTTTATCTTATAACTGGAAGTTGGTCCGTGAAGAAAGTGAGAGATAAATGTGGGAGAGGTGGGTGTGGTTGGCATTCGACACATGTTTTAGGTATTATTTCACATGCTCTTATAATCGTGTATCTATTAGACACTCGTTAAAATGAACTAAATGTTAGGAAGATGAGATTAATCAAAGAATGTGTATAAATGTAAAGAAGCATAATAATTATTATTATTATTATGCGCGCGCGCGTATATATATATATATATATATAATAAATTGAGTGGAATTGATGTCTTAAACGAGTGTCTGTTGGAGGTACCGTGAGAAAAAAAACCCATTATCATCACTAATGAGGGAACGTGGGGACAACATAATAATAAGCCTTATCCTTTCCTTCTCCATTTTCCAAACCAATCCCGCCCAAGACGTCATCTTTTTTTTCATCCGAAGAGAAGGAAGCTTGAAAAATGATCGATGTTTCAATTTGCAAGTAATTTAAGGTTGTCTCAGTCCTAATAAGGAGGATGCGTTTTGCACTTGCAAACATTTGGAGAATAATTAGCAAACGAATTTCAATGAAAGAAAAAACCAAAATTACCCATAGAGATCCAAAAGCAGCAAAAGGCCTAAGATATTTTCTACTCCTTCCTCTCAACTGGCGTATATCCCTCACCTGTAGTACTTGTGAGTATTTTAAATTTCTAGACAGTGGTAAAAGTAAAAAATAGACGGTTTCTTTTCTTCTTTTTTTTTGGCTGGCTTTACTTGTCTTTAAATTCATTCCTTACTTCTTGCGTCCCACTTCCAACAATAAGCCGGTGGCATCTGAACATTCACTAAAGCATTAAAATAACTTGTGTGCTACCCTCTCCTCCTTTCTATCGTCGTCTTGCTACCAAATCTAAAGGACTAATAATCCTGTGCTGTGTTTGGCAGCTGGCCTCCCCTTGTTCAACAAATGGGTTGTGTGGGTGCAATTGCTGCTGTGACCATGGTTCAAAGACTCGGCCGAGTCGTCACCGGAATAGGGGTTCCCGATCCGATATCGGGACGAGATGATTTTGAGATAATGAATCGTCCAGAACTCGTCCGAAACAGATAAAAAACGGTCAAGTTGCTCCGATTCATCTTGAATCAGTTCGAATTTTTATTATTTTTGCTAATTTTTTAATCATATTTTTTTTACAATTTTTAGAATATTAAATATTTCAAAAATTTGCGTCTCGACGAAATCGCGACCGATATGCCGAGACCAATGTGGAACGGTCCAGGCCGTGACCGCTATCACGACCGATACTTTGAACCATGGTTGTGGCCGCACCTGTTGCTGTTGCGGCGGCAGCAGCAGGGCTTTATTTCGTGGATAGATACCCTCGCCATGCCAACATCACCAAGGTCGGGGCTTCGCCCCTACAATTCACCGTACTCTCCTCCTAGTAATAGTAGTACATGTTTCTTCTCTTTTTCTTTTTCTTTTTTAATAAAAATGGGAGGTTTCGAACTCGAAATCTCTTATTTACATTTCCTTCCTTCATATTGTCCAATCCATCCCTTCCTCCGTGTTTCTTCTCATTTGAATCTGCCTTTTGTTTCATATTGTTTAATTAGGCTCATTGTTTGGGTACGTATCATCATTGTATGCATGTCTCTTGTTTATCAGGAGGAAGTAAGAGATGGATTAACTAGACTCCAGACTCTCAAGGCAAATTGTATAACCCGAGTTAATGAAGGGACGACTGAGTCAAATCAGCAAATCCCCAAGTTTTTTTTTTTTTTTTGGTCAACGCAGTGGGATATCTGGGTCCATGGACTAGTAATACCGTACGACCCAACTAATCCCCACTGCGTGGCCGAAAGAGGCTGCCCAACATCACCGACCAAGTAAATCCGAGGACTCGATCCCTGGATGTGGCTCTCCCCCAACTGGGACTACAACCACGAACCGAACCCGAAGGGCCAGCAAATCCCCAAGTTTGCACCTGAATTTGACGGTTTACACTGTTTTGAAACCCTGATGGTGGGTCAATAATTAAATTAATTTGTAGCTGTCCAGTAAAGTTGGTTCTCTGTTTGAAGGCCTCAGGAGGCATGGAGGCTTCAAGGCAGAGCCACACGCCGGGGCCCTGGTTGTTTCTAATTATAGCTTATTTACCGCTATTTTCTCACTTTCTGTTGGACTGCTCCTGAATCTTATTGGTACCATGGTCCGTCCCAACACACCATCATTCCCCAAAGCAGATACATAATCTCCTTAAAAAGCTGGTTGGGTTTGTCAAAGTCCCCATTATGACACTCGTAAACGTTATATAAGATATAATAACTAGAGGTACCTCGGCTGTGCAACGCACAGCCAGGGCCCTCTAGAACATTAGTTAAATATATAGTAACAAATGTTTTAGTACATAATGAATAGAAATATAGGAAAAAAATTAAGTATAAAAATAATTAAAATTTGCTGTGAAAAAAAATTTCATATATAAAGTTAACCCCAATTTATTGTGATTTGGAAAAAGAATTTTTAACCAATATTATGTGTACGTAATGATACCAAAAAAGAAAAGAAAGCAAATCCATTATGGGTGCATTATTGGTTTAATAGCAACATAGTTTTAGTTGTAATTAAATAAAGAGTAGTCATAATGTTTCTAACATTTTAATAATTAGAAAAAATATAGAAAGCCACAAAAACCTGTCACTATCTTCAACATCAATAAAAAAAAAATACAAACTTGCATATTTTTCTTTCTTTTTTGAGAGAAAGAACGAGTTAATCTATCCATTTAAATCATCTCTAATAGCATTACAAATAGATGAAAACATTATCTAACCAAATAGTTATAGAATACGTACCGCAAGTTTAAATAAAAACATGAATTGCCATATTTGTAAATCTACATATGCAAATTCAAATCCAACAATTTGTTTGATTGCAAATATGTCTTCCTAATCAAAATAGAATTTTCTAATAATATTTTGTAGAGTGACACTCTAAGCTAAAAGCCTCAATACTAACTTCCCACCAAATGCATTCCTTTGAAAACTGCAATTGTTTTAGCTAGTCAAATCGACAAAATATTATTAACTTCTTTAGCCAAATGGTAATGATATGTCCAGTTCTATGCCTAACAATCATCTCAAACTCTAATTACATTATCTATCATTATGGGCAATAAAAAGGGATAAGAGTACAAAGTCATATAGAACCAGTTTAAGTAAAAGATTTTGAAATCTAATTTTGCACTTCTTTTATTTCCAAGCTATCATTTGCTAAAATTAAAACCATGAAAATAAACTACCTATTATGGATACAAGCTAGTCATTCAAAATGTTGAATGAAGAGATATAAATTATTATCTTCACATTCTAAATTGCTAGCCCCAACAATTATTTTACCTGTCATCCACCTTATCCAGTTTATAAGCACTTTTCACAATTAATAAACTTTATATAAATTAAAATATAATTACCTATCCATAAATTAAGAGATTCTGGTTAATTTTTAATTTAATAGGCATCATTTTTTTCTTCCTGATCATCGTTTACCTTGGATTTTCATTTATTAGATTTTTTTCTCCTCTACTGTAGTACCATCACCCTATTATCAAATAACAATTTTAATAAATAAAAAATTAGAATTAGAATGAATCTGCATAATGGTGTTATTTATTTTATCAGGGAAAAGTAGTTACAATTCTTTCATTGTTAGCCTAAAAATTCTTCATGTAATCACCACCCGTCTTGTTGTCAGCCTTTTCCAAAAATAAAAAGATCAAAAAGTAGTTTCAGAATAAATAAAATATAAAAAACTAAAAAAAATGTTTCTTTAGATTTTGGGAAAAATATTCACAGCATCACATACCTATTTTGGGTAGAAAAGAAAGTCAGATGAAGAAGAAATAGGTGAGAAAAGCAATAAGCAAAGGTTGTTGATCAAGACGCAAAAAATGACAAAAAAAATATCAAATAGTATATACCAAAAAGAGACATTAAAAGTAGAAGATCATGAATCATAATTATAGGACTATGGAAGAAAGGAAATATCAAACCCATTCTTGATCTCCGATAATGAAATCATTCATTTAGTTAATTATGGACAAAAATGAAAGAAAATGCATCAACTAATCCAATAGAGAAAAAATAGAATAAATGATTAATTAGGATGATAGGGAAAAAAATGAAATACAAAGTGGAAACTAAATAACAAACCTGCAGTGTACATGAGGATTTGTTTAATTATCCTTAATCAAAAAGGAGAAAAGAAATAAAGTGAACAAAAGAAAAAACAAAGCAAAATGAAAAAAAGAAAAGGAATGGACCACGTGTCAAAATGAGAGGGAATTCACTTGGCAATCATCGGAGTTGCTATAGTAACTCCACTTTCTTCTTATATAATAGGTAGATACTCGTAAACGTTAGCCAAAAGAGCTAGTAATAAATGCTTCATGGTTTTCTGTGGTTTTCCCCTAAAGTTCCTTTTTGTGCTAGTAAGATGATTGGCGCGATCAAGCGCTAGTGTGCTTCGCTGTTATCACCTACAGTCAAATTGTTAGGACGGTGATCCCAGTTCGTTGTGCTACTGAAAGTTTTATGACACAATTTGTCGCGTTAGTAAAATGATACTGCTAATATATTTGTCCAAGACGTTTGTGCTTGTACTGGAAAGTTCTGGAACCGGGAATAGAGCCCTGAAATTCAGTCATAAACACAGCGTTTCCGAATGGCTGTAAGCTTTGCTAGTTCCATGTACTTTGGTCCAGAAAACTACAGATTGAAAGAGCATCTGTGCATGGCAGACCCCGCTTAACCTAAAATTACAGATTGAAGTGGCGTATCACACATCCATATGCATGAAGCTACCTTGTTCAAAATGGTATACATAAACTCGGAACAACCATCAAACCCAAATTCCTTGAATTGCAGAAAGAGCACGCGATAAAAGCCTAAGCATACATAAATAGTCCAGAAAAGAGTGTGACAGAAGAGGAGGGAGGCAACAAACGCCATTACTATCAATTATACATCCTTCTTTCTAACTTGTGCGTATGTCTTGAGTATTGTAGCCAGACGCACAGAAGAGCCCGCCAACAAAAAGAAAACAGAATCTAAAACCGGATAAAAGCTAAAATTTCACCAACCGAGAGCTACGGCAGTGACAGGTGCAATTATACACCACTTTTCAAATATGTCTTATGTCCTAGGACACGCTCTTCTTCCTATGTTTGCAAACGTTTTTGCGACGCTAAATATGATTGCCTTAGTAAAGAGTCCATGATCGACACTACAAGCAACAACCACAGCCCCTCCCAAAATTAGAAGCTTTGGTATGATCATCCCCCTAGGCTTTTCAGTTAACTCCAGCATCTCAGATTCTGACGAGTCTTCTTCGCTACTTTCTAAGGACCTCAGGTGGTCTGGGTCAATCTTTGTGTTAATTTGAGCCATAAATGCAGCATGTGAGAGCAATGCCCCAGATGCTCTTGTCCTCTGATAAGATCGAAAACCACGCTCAATCTTTCTGACAGTCCCCCACATACCCTGTCTTACTCCAAATTTTGCAATTTCCCATGGGATGCCCATATCTTCGTGATGGAAGAGTAACACCTCACATGCATCTAATTGGCCATTTCCCTTCCTCGACTCCACTGTTTCATGCACCCATGAGTAGTTATGCAACTAGCAAACACTTGCACTAATTACCATACATACAATAAGATGTGTAAAGAAGTAATTTTTGTCTTGGAAAATAATCAGACCGTTGCAAAAGAAAGCAGTGCAGAACTATAATCAAAGGGTTCTGTTAATTATGTGGATGCATGCTTGCCAATGGAAACAAGAAGAAATCTTTTTTACCTGCTTGTATGTACCAACTTGAATAATAAAGGTCGACACGTCTTGGTTTGCCCCGCCTTGGAATAGAATCACAAGGCACTCCCTGATTTGAAGAAGGAAAAAAGACAGGAATCACATTAGAATCCAAAACCCACGAGGATGTACAGTTGACAAAAGCAACTGTAGGGAAACATAGAAAATCTGTACACACTGCCTGCTTTGAATATTGTTAGTAACCAGAACTAACACCGCTTTTATTTCCTCCCTTATGACCAGTTTCACCTCACTAAGAAAGAAAGAGAATCGAAGAAACTCCTATATGACCTATGCCCACACAACACACAAAAAAAAAAAAAAAAAAATCGAAGAAGCTCCTATATATGTCACAACGTCACAACAACATGGTACTCTTAAAGGCATCTATAGAACGTTAAGGTACATCTTTGACATGAAGTGATGTCCCTTATTTTGATCAGATGATATTATGAACAACAAGGTGCTACCAGAAAAGGCCATCTTTTTTAACATGATAGCCACATTCTATTATGTAGCTTTCCAACATTCTTCCAGCACCTTCACTTCCTCTCTGCATCAGTGCCAAAACAATTTTTGGCAATAGTCTTCATCATTCTTCATCACCTCAATCATGTCAAGCACAAGTTGCTAAGATGACTGTAAGGAACTTTAACAAGGACAGAAACAAAGTCACTCTAGTTTAAAAAAGACAGGCAGATCATTTACTATTTTTGCAGTCCCTTTACTTCCACTTATATGTTTGCCAACTGATCCTTTGGTTACCAAATCTCCCAATAGAGCACTTATTTGATTTTTTTTTATTTTATTTTTTTGCATTTATGTATTCATAGAACAAATATCTAAGCTGACCATCAAATACTTCCCTGACCTTGGACCTAACCGTCTTGAAGTACTTCTTTTTCATTTGAGTAGTTCAATAATCTTTCAGCTCCTACTTCAAAATTGAAAAGATAAAAAATTTAAAATGTATTGACTGACATGCATTTCCACAAATGTATAGGCAAGAAAACCAACCAAAAAGAAGAGTCTCTCACAAACCTTAGTGACACAGTAATAGGATCTTCCTGATTCCCATATTCGACGGCCAATTATGTATTCTCGGTCACTGCAGAAGAAGGGAAACTGCCAGAAAGAGCATGTGAACAAAATAAGTACCAGCAAGAAAAGATAATGCCTGTGCTGTAATGATAAAACAGAGCATTCCTAACCTTTCTTATCCAGTGCACTATCATAGTTCCTGAGGTAGGGCATTCTTCCAGGGTTTCAGCATGTATAAGCATATCATCCCACTTCAGTCGAAACTCATCATCCCAGAAGAAATCCCTCAAGAGCTCAGGTGTGGCATCTTCATAAACTGTTCTGCTGCAATATTGAGGAGGACCAGTCTAGCATATCCACCAAGATGAGATTAGTCAAAAAACGAAAATGAGAAGCACACAAAGGCCTATAGCCACTACAGTTATATTTAAACAAGAAAACAAGACAGTTGTTTGCATAAGATCGATTTTACAAGTGAGAGTACCTCAGGATCTCTCTGCCAGGCTTGGTAGCTCATCTCTGATGTAGAACGTTCCATCATATGTTTCCAAGGGGGACCTCCATCTCTCCTCCCAACCAGATGGCACAAGTGTTCCAAATCCTCGTTCGTAACTGCTACAGGTACTTCCTCTTTTAATTGTGAGAAACCACTGTACAAATCACAAGCACATGATCAGATTTGCCTCGTGCACTCCAGACTAAAATAGAAGAAAAGAAGGAAAAAAGAAGAATGGATCAAAATTAACATAATGGACATCAAATGCATCGTAACAAACTTGTGTTTCTTTAGGATTTCGTATGCTGCATTGACCATGTCTTTATCCTATCTACCTTCAAGCCTTTTTTGGTCCATTTTTGCCAATTAACCGAGAAATGACAATATTTAAAGCGATTAGGTATCGAGCTTAAACATTCTTCGATCAGTATTGAACTGAAATTCAAATAGGGGGAAAAATAAGCATGAGGAAGCTAGAATTTCTGGCAATTAAAACGCCAATAGATTACCTGGAAATAGCATCATCAGTGGGTGGGGGGAGAGTATCCTGTCTCTGCTCCACAGAGGTATCCGGGGAACAAAAAGCAAAAGTTGGAGGGGGAGGGGCACCAAAACTCAGAACTTTGGAAGGAAGAAGAGAAGAACAAGGGGAAGAAGGCGCTGAAAAATCAAATTTACAATTGCCCAAGCTGGCCCATCTGGGTTTCCAAGCCCACCCTAGCATTACACCAAGAAGAAAAGCTACCCAAACCGGACCCAACAACATAATCACCCCTACAACCATTCCCCCCATGGTGGGTCTCGTCAGAATTTCCAAGAATGCATCAGCTACCGCCATAACTCCGCAACAGCTGTTTTTTTTTTTTTTATATAATTGAAGTATTACAATATAGTAGCAGTACTTACCATGTATACAAACAGAAAATTAAAGAAAAAGCAAAGTATACAAGAAAAAAGAAAAAAAAAAGGGAAAAAAGTTGATCTGTCTCTCGATGCTAAAGATTATCCAGCAGTCATCAAGAGAAAAAGAGAGAGGGGAAGAGGAAAAGATAGGAGAGAGATGCTAGTACTTATTGTAGGCCTGAGAAGGAGACAAGAGAGATTTTACTTTATGTGATAAAAAAATGAAAATGACACGAAGGGCTGAAATGAAGTTTAAGGAGATTCTTCTTCTTCTGGGTAAGCTGAGTTTTGATTTCATTATTATTATTTTTTTTTTTTGGGGGATATTCTGTTGTATTTCCACCCTTTCTTCTTTTTTTTTTCCCCTTTCTCAGAAAATAATAACCGTGTCTAAGAAGGGTACGAATGATCCTCGCAAAGAAAAGACAAAGAAAACACCCCAAAAGAGGGAAAAAGAAAAGGGGGGTGAATGGGCAACGTAAGAATAGTCCCACACCGCCAATGCCGAGTTGTATTGTTATGGCGGTAGTAATTTGGTTGGGGGAGGAATGGAATGAATGAATGAAATTTGAAGGAATGAGGAAGAGATGGGAGAATAGATTGGCTGAAGGGTTTCAGTTAGTGTTGGGGAAGAAGAGATGGGTCACCGTTGGTTAGCTGTTACTCTGGTGGAGTAATTTTATTTTTTTTTTTGCTTGCGAGGACGACTGGCTGTTCTGAGTTCTGAGTGGGCTGCTTTCGTACGTCTGATTGCGATTGCCATTGGTTAGCTGTTTCATTCATTGGATTTTGTGGCCGCGGGGTGTCGGCGTCTCACTCGTTAATCGTTATCCTCCTCCTACTCCTCCTTGATGCCGTCTCCTCCTTGATGGATAGGATAGGATATAGGATAGCGTTGTGACGTAGGCTCTCTCCCAGCAAAAGACAAAGATGTTGATGAATCCGCCAGTTTCTACGGTTGGGCTGATAATGCACCAGGCCCAGCTAATTTTGTCCAACATTTCGCTCCATACACAACCCCCCCCCCCCCCTCCAAAACCTAAGGTGATATCGAATCGAAATTGAATATTTTTATACTTGAACTCGAGTTCAATGCTCAAACACACTGCTCGAGTTCGACCGAGTTAGTTATATTGCGCTCGACCTCGACTTGAAGTAATATATTCGACATTCGAGCTCAACTCGTTGGAGATCCAGTCAGTATTCAAGCTCGTCAAAGAATTTTCAACAGAAGGAATAATTTAGTTATTTTAAAATATTAATTAAATATTATAGCAGGTACTCGATAGAGCTCGACGAGCTCTTCATTACGTAATATCCCTAGTCAAGTTTGATTCGCGAACTCAATCGAGTAGCTTGAACTCAACTCAAACTTGACTTTGATCGAGCTCGAGTTGAGCAACTGACTGATCTACTCGCAAGTTCGACTGAGTTGTAGCCTTACCCCTACCCCTTTTATTTCCTAAATCCTACTACACTATGCACAGGTTTTTTGTATCATTTTTGGATTTTAATTGTTGCGCTCATCTAATGTTTGTTTGCTTTGTTGTATGTATATAAAAACTTACCAAACACTAGTGTTAATTCAAGTTAACTTCCAAAGCTTATGTCACTTTTTCCTTAAGGGATAATTGCAGAAACCTCCCATGACACTATCACTTACCTCCATTGTGATTTAGAAAATAGTACTTATCACCCTTGAACTTAAGGTTTGTGTTGCAAATTCAGTCCATGCTAGAAAAGCTACCATTTTAAAAAAAAATTTAGAAGTTAGTTGAGAAATTTGTACCAAATTTGCCTTCCATGCTGCTTGTTAAGTTGTATTAACGGATGAATGACAAAATATAAAAAGTTATTGAAAATTAGCAAAATTCAAGGGTTATAAGTGCAATTGAATGAAATTTACCAACAAAACATGTAGTAACTGTGGATACTAACTGTTAGTTAAATGACTATATATCCAGATTATTGCAACAAAATTTATAAACAATACACGTCATTTTTAAAACTCTCTATTTGTGGGGTAACACAAATTATTGAGCATTAGATAAGTCTAGTTACAAGTAATTAGAAGTGCATACTAATAAGGTAAAGTTATCTTTATTGAATGAAAATTGCAGTAAGTGCATTAAAACCACATATTAAAACTGTTGTTGTTATAATATTTTCAGAGTACATGATTATAACTGTATTAATGGAAAAAGATGTAGTAACTTGAACAGCAGTAGTAGGCTGAACTATAGGAGGTTTTGAAATAGAAATGATTTAAGTAGATACGTTTGTACAAGTTCTCTTTATACTTACTTTAATAATAGTTTCAGAATTGCTTATTTGTCTTCCTCTCTGGAATTGTATAAAAATAGAATTAAATTGACTAGTTTGAAGAACATAATATAGAAACATGTACATCGTTTTCTCCCCTCAATTGACACCATTCATTAATTTTGCTTACAATGGCTAATGATGCTAAAATTCACAGGTAATTTAGTTTAAATTAGTCACTTAATTTGTTGACAAAAAATAAATTTTCTTTTCTAAAATTCATCCATTAAGTTCTTTTCTAAATCCCTTTCCTTATGGTTTGTTTGGATTGACCTTTATTTCCCCAAATATATTTGCTTACATCATCATTACAATTTCCAATACACCTTTTTACCTTCCCAATTACCTTTTTATCTAACATACATCACATCTAGAGGTGTCAAATAAAACCATTTAATTAATTTTACCCATACCCGCCCATTAATAACTGGATATGGGTACATTAAATTTTTATATATGGATATAAATGGGTTACCCAATTAAACCCATTTATTAAATGGGTTTAATTGGGTAACCCATCTAACCCATTTAACCCATTTAACTTGCATTCCCAAACCCTTTGTATTTCCCATTTTCACCGTCAATCTTCTTCTCCTCCCCACCAGCAAGCCCACTGCTTCCCTCCCCCCTTCTTCCTCCAGTGTTTGTTTCCCCCATCTCTTCTCCCCGTCTTTGTATTTTGCCCCTTCCATGTCCGATTTCTGAGCTCATATGGGCATCGTTCGAAAAGTAGTTCTGCTGTCTCGTGAGGAGTGAGTGGTCTAATAGGATGACAGACACTAGTAGGACTGACAGAGACATTCCAATGGTTATTATCCTGCAGACGGAATGAATGGTGACACACAAGCGATGCAGCCAACTATTTTGCCTTGATTAACGGCCAAAAAAAGGTTCGCTTGTGTTATCTCTTTCGTTCGGATCTCCAGAATTAGAATTCAAAATAGTGCCTAATTAGAATTCTTGGTTGCATTGCATGTCTGCTAGAATTCTTGGTTGCATTTGCATGCATGCGGATCAAGCATTGGCGAATGTGGTTTTGACAGTCAAGAATTTGAAGTAGTTAAGCTTAACTTTGGAAGGCTAATAATGGTATAATTAATTTTAGGATTATCTAATTAAGTTCAGTTTTGCAGATTGCTGAATCTAATTAAATATTGCACCGTAGTATGTTACCATTCTTAAGTTTTTGGACATCTTGGACTGGTTAAATGATTGTTTCGCTTACCTTTGTTGGCAGATTGCATTAGATCTTATTTAGTAGAAAGCTCTGTAGATTTATGGCTGGACCAAATTGACAATACTTGGTAAAAACATGTAGTTCTTGGGATCAATGTTGCAGAAATATTAGATGAGGTGTACAAAATTGGAAGGCTGAGAGTCTTAGACAGAAAAATATCAGATAAGGTGTACAAAGTTGGTAGTATAGATAACAGAAATGCTATCCCATCATGATCCAATAGATGAGTTGTCAGAGCACATTCAGGAACAATGTTCTTATACAAGCCATGAACCTACCAATACAAGTGAGTTGATCCAAGGTTCTTCTAAGCGTTCGAGACAGCTCACGTCATTGATTTGGAAGGAATTTGAAATATTATGTGTTGAGCCAGATGGCTCACAAAGAGCACAATGTAAATGGTGCAAGCGTGATTATGCATGCGGTGGAACAACCGGAACAAGCAACTTATGGCGTCATCTTTCAAATTGTAATAAGCGTGGACAATCTGATTTTGAAGAACGGTCTCCAATTGACCAAGGAATTTATCGGGAAAAGATGGGAATTGCTATTGTGAAGCATAACCATCCTTATAGACTGGTGGAGCAAGAAGGAATTCGAGACTTGTGTATATACTTAAATTCAGATGCTTTACCCATTTCGAGAAACACGATAAAGACTGATATTGAAAAGATGTACAAAAGAGAAAAAGAGACAGTAAAGACAGAATTAAATTCAATTTCAAGTCGAATTTGCCTTACTGCAGACTTGTGGACATCTATTGCAACAGATGGGTATTTGGCATTGACGGCTCATTTCGTGGATGAAGATTGGATTTTACAAAAGAGGGTTCTAAATTTTCACCACATGCCACCACCACATGGTGGTCCAATATTAGCTGAAAAAGTCATAGATTTATTGAGAGATTGGGCTGTTGAAAAAAAAGTTTTTACTATCACATTGGATAACGCATCTTACAATGATGGTATGGTGAATCTGTTGAAGCAGCATTTGAGGCTAAGAAATACACTATTTTGTGAGGGTGAATTTTTTCATGTAAGATGCAGTGCACATGTGCTAAATTTGATTGTCCAAGATGGTGTCAAAGTTATTTCCAAACCAGTCTCAAAGATCCGAGAGTGTGTAAAATATATCAGAGCTAGTGAATCAAGAAAGTTGAAATTTGCAGAGTGTATTGTTCAAGTTTCTTTGCCATGCAATAAGAGGGTGCATCAAGATGTCCCAACCAGATGGAACTCTACATTTGTGATGCTGGATAGTGCACTTGAATATAAGCTTGCCTTTCATCAGTTGCACGTGGTTGATCGCAACTTCAGCAGATTTTACCCAACTGAAGAAGAATGGCTTAAGGTGCAGAAATTTACAACACTGTTGAGGCCTTTTTATGACCTGACCACCCTTTTTTCGGGGACTAATTATCCAACTGCAAATTTGTATTTTCATGGTGTCTGGAAAATTCAAAAAGTTATCACGGAAGAGGTCAATAATTTAGACATTGAAGTGAGTGAAATGGCCAGGCAAATGAAACGGAAATTTGAGAAGTATTGG